ACGAGTCTGGTTCGTGCGCCGCGATGCCCTTCCTCGTCCCGCTGTTGGCCGCGGCGCTCGTGAGTGTGTCCGAAGTATGCGCTGATCCTACGCCTGAAGGACTTGGTTCTCGCGACCTCCCTTGCCCTGAAGCGGAGGACATCCTTCCTTGCGAGTGCACGGTTCATGGCTCCTACACCATGAACATGTATTGCTCTGACGTGGACAATGACGAACTGGCCAGGGTCTTCTCCGCGCACTTCCCTTTCACGCAGCACTGGAGGCTGGATGTACGGTTTAGCGACAGGCTGGACGTGCTTCGGAAAGGGGATTTGGGCGTGGTTTCCATCGACGATTTTAACATTCTATTTTCTGGGCTTACGGAGGTGCAGGAGGAAGCCCTTTCGCAGAGTTACTCGACCGTTGAGCGCATTGGCTTATCCTACAACCAAATATCGAAATTTCCTTTTCATGAACTTCCCCTGTTCACATCCCTAAGGCAGTTATACTTATATGACAACCAGCTTGATCAATTTCCCGAGCTGAATTCTGACTCTCTTACGCTCGTCTCGCTGAGTTTCAACCTCATGAGTGATGTCCCAGTTGACGGCTTCAAAGGTGTTCCGAATTTAGAAGTATTCGCTTTTGAAGGAAATAATTTGCAACAGATTACGCCAGGTAAAACATTCATACACACCCATAAACATTCAAAAACGTGCGCATAACTAAAAATATACACATACAAGTGTGTGTATATCTGTGTCCACAAACGACAGCTTTTAACACACAAGTAACTTGCCGGAGTTTTCTGGTTTCGCTTCAGGAACCTTTGCCGGCCTCCCGCACCTGGAGAGAGTCTATATCCCGAGGAACAAGCTGAGCCGTATCCAAGAAGGGGCTCTCGCGGTTGCCAGTGACTTCTTTCGGGAACTTGTTTTATCCGGAAATGACATCAGCATTATTGAACCTAACGCCATAACAGGTGACTAAGTGTTTTTTCCTTAGCTGTTTCTTTACTTCAATTTTTTTTTTCTAAATTATTTTGTATATGAAAGCCTTTTAGGAGTAGTGATCAATGTGCTGATCAGCCAAGATGAAAATATGAATAATATAAAAAAATAACTAAGAATCCCCTCCACAAAATCCCAACGAAGCTACGACTCGATGGCAACTCCTTGACGGTCCTGGACGAAGCAGTGTTCCGGCCGCTTCTGGAGGACGAGGTCTCGCTCTTCCTCGTAGGTAAAGTCTCCTCTCAAAACCTCCAGCTGGAAGAGGAACAAGGGGTGGGGAAAAAGAAAGAAAGAGAGAGAGAGAGAGAGAGAGAGAGAGAGAGAGAGAGAGAGAGAGAGAGAGAGAGAGAGAGAGAGAGAGAGAGAGAGAGAGAGAGAGAGAAAGAGAGAGAGAGAGAGAGAAGACGTTCCTCTTCACGCTCAATGCATTCCTTGTACCTTCCCTTAGGCAATGAAACAAGAATCTCACATGATCACGAAGCCAATATTTCTCCAACCGACGAATAATAAACGGATGAACAAAACCTACGAAATACACAACACCTCCAATCTCAGGTATTACCTTCACTCCCTTATTAGCTTCCACCCTCTCTTCCCCCCCCCTACCCCCCTACAGGAAACCCCCTGAGCTGCGAGTGTGACATCGCCTGGCTCGTCACGACTCCCGACTTCATGGCCCGAATCGCCGACGACGCTGCTTGCTTCAACGGGCAGCTGCTGTCGGACCTCGACCCGGGCATCTACGAGAACCTCTGCTGAAGAAGGGGCGCGGGAGGAGGGGGAGGGGGGAGGGGGGGGCGCTCGGGACGGAGGAGTCGCTTAATGGCCTTAACTGCTGTGTGTTGTAATCTGCTATATTCTGTACACAGGTATAGGCTTCAATTATTATTATCATTATTATTATTACCATTATAATTATTGTTATTATTATTATTATCATTATCATTATCATCATTACCGTTATAACTATTATTATTATTATCATTGTCATCATTATTATTATTATCTTTATTATTATCATTAGTGGTAGAAACTATGACCGCTTGCATGTTATTACAGATATTTTTTAATTTCCTGTGGATGCCAGTTTGAAATCCCATTAAAGACTTCTCTTAGCGACTAAATTAATGATTATCCTGAAGTGAAACCTCACGACGACAGCTTACACATTTGCTTATTTACGTGAAAAAAAAAATTGATCCATTAAAGCTATCTTGCAGAAACTCGAGATATAACATCATTACACTTTCCCATCAACACGAATAAATAAATAGATATCTGCCAGGTCAAAGGCTTTATCAAAAGAGAAGAGATAAGAAATTTAGTCCAAATATATCTTCCTGCAACACGATAGACTATTAACTGCCTTCATTATCTCTTGGGAACTAACAGCTGTCTTAGTTTCCTCCGTTGATAAGATAAATGGCCAATACTGGTTATTCCCTAAGGTAAATTGATGCTTATAACGCCTGTGTGTAGATAGATGGATGGCTGGATAGATGGATATA